TAGTTGAAACAAGCCTTACAACAGAAATATGTGGCGTAAAATAGAGCAGCTAATATATCTTAATTGGCACATTACTCAAAATTATCTAAGTTTTCGAGTGGAGGCGGGCTCAACCGGATACATAGACGGACTCAATATCGGGCTTCCTCATAATAATCTCCTCGGGTAAAGGTATTCAGGTTTCTACCGCGTGGATCCCACACAAATCCCACGGATATTTTATTAATTCGAAATGAGTATTGTTTGCAAGCCAAAAGGCACCTCTTGCTGTCGGAGAAGGAACGGAAAAAAGAATTAAAAAGGATTCAATATTGTAGTTGGTGTGGTGCGAAAGACAGATGACTAAAGAAATAAACCAATATGCTTCATCTGAAGCCTTTGCTCCTTTTCCTATTGTAAAATCTCAAGCAATTAATATCTTAAGGTAACAAGAGTGCGGCTAAAGGTGGCCATAATTGCTCCTGTATATTGTGTTTAATAATATTTTTGTACATCGCTAATGAAAGGTACATGTGCCTATTTATAGGCTTTAAAGGTTAACTATCTAAAGTAACAAATAACAAAATATCAATTACATCAAATCAAAATCAAGACAAAATCTCCTAAATATATCTATATCTTTAACATAGGAAAATAATCAAGGAGGAAATCTTTTCTGAGCTGTAGCCTTGTCTAACATCCCCCCGCAAGCTGATGTGGCAGGAGTCACAGCAAGCTTGATTTGAAGAAGACGAAACTGAGGAGTGGAGAGGCCTTTAGTGAAGATGTTGGCTGGTTGATCATGAGTGGAGATGTACTGAACATGAAGTTGTCCTTTGGCCACACGCTTGCGCACAAAGTGGTAGTCAATCTCTACATGTTTAGAGCGAGCATGGAAGATGGGATTGCAAGTAAGATGGATAGCAGAAAGATTATCACACCAAATGACAGGAGGAGCGGGCAGATGAACATGAAGATCGCGTAGCAGAGCTTCTATCCAAATAAGATCTACAGTGGTGTCAACAAGACACTTTAACTCAGCTTCGGTACTGGATTGGGCAACGGTCCGTTGTTTGCGGGGGCTCCACGAAATGAGATTTGAACCCAAGAAGATGCCAAACCCACCAACAGAGCGACGAGTATCTAGAGCACTAGCCCATCCCGCATCGGAAAAAGCATGCAGCTGAAAAGAAAAGCTAGGAGTGAAGAGAATACCATGATGTTGAGTGCCTTTGATGAAACAAAGGATCCTTTTAACAAATTGCCAGTGGATCTCAGTGGGAGAGTGCATGAACTGACAAGCTGTGTTGACAGCATATGCGATATCTGGGTGAGTGAGCGTGAGATACTATAGAGCCCCTACAATGCTGTGATATAGTGGCGGATCGGAGAAGGGCACACCAAGATGAGTAGACGAGGCACCAGCCGAAGTGGTACAAGGTGTGGAAACAAGACGAGCCTCGGTCATTATGGCCCGCATAAGTAAATCTGCAACATATTTAGCCTGATGAAGAATAATGCCTCGGTTCGTCTGTTGTATTTTAATGCCAATAAAGTAATGAAGCTCTCCCAGATCTTTAATAGAAAATTCCTGCTGCAGAGATTTAATGAGAGCCGACAAGGGCGCATAAGGTGACTCGGTGACAATAATGTCATCAACATAAACCATAAGGAAGATACTATGCTGAGCTGTATGAAGAATAAAGAGTGAAGAATCGGCAACTGAAGGAATGAAGGCCATTTGAACTAGAAAAGCACTGAGGCGTTGATGCCAAGTGCGAGGAGCTTGTTTAAGACCATAAAGAGACTGCTGTAATTTGCAGACATAGCGGGGATGAACAGAATCAACAAAGCCAGGAGGTTGCTCCATGAAAATTTCTTCTATTAGGTGACCATGAAGAAATGCGTTCTTTACATCAAGCTGTCGGAGTCGCCACCCACGAGAAAAGGCAACAGAGAGGACAGTGCGAACTATCACATGGTTGACCACAGGGCTGAAAGTCTCATTGTAGTTGACGCCTTCTTGTTGATGGAAGCCCTTTGCAACCAATCGAGCTTTATACCACTCAAGAGAACCATCGGCACTGAGCTTAACCCGGAAGACCCATTTGCAGCCAATAAGTTTACAATTCAGAGGAGGAGACACTAATGTCCAGGTCTGATTTTTTATGATGGCAGTGTATTCATCCGCCATAGCCACACGCCAATTTGCATCTTTCACAGCCTGACTAAAGCAAGAAGGTATGACAAAATTTGACGTAGAAGTGGCCAACACATAAATGCGATCAGTGTGAATATGTCTACGGGTTAAAGTGCCATCACGAAGGCGTGTCACCATAAGATGTGTTGGCTGAGCTAGTGGATTTGGCGGAGAAGTTGCTGGCAGGATTGGTGAAGTTGCGGATTGAGAGGGAGACTCATCAGCGGGTTCATGCAGTGAGGTTTTGGACACACCTGAACTGCGCTGATTCTGCAGCAAAGAATTAGCAGACTGCAAATTGCAATTAGAGGGATAATAGGGCTCACACGGTGGTTGTTGTGGCAGAGGAGTTCCAGACAACTCGGCAGAAATAAGCGGCTAAATGGTTGTGGCGGCCTCCAAAGATGATTACTGAGTGTTTTGCGCATAAGGGAGATCTAATTCGTCAAACACTGCGTTAGCAACAACGTAGAATCGTCGATGCTGAGGGGAATAACATCGGTATGCTTTGTATCATGATGGGTAACTCAAGAAAATGCACCGGTGTGACCGTGGTTGCAGTTTGTTCTTCGCATAGGGTCGAAGATTGGGATACACTGTGCAGCCAAACAATCTGAGATGAGCAACAGATGGAACCATCTGAAATAAGATCTCCCATGGTGATTTATTCTGCAGAATTGGTGTGGGCAGCCGATTGATAATATGTATAGCTGCTTCAAAGGCAAAGCCCCAATAATGATAGGGGACAGAAGCATGATAGAGCATCGCAAGTCCCATTTCAACTATGTGGCGATGTTTGTGCTCAGCTGAGCCATTCTGAAGGGGTGGGCATGGACAGGAGGTCCTGTGAAAAACACCTTTCGCTTGCAATAATTGAACAAACGATGCAAAGACAAACTCTCCTGCATGGTCATATTGAAAAGCTTTGACCTTACTATTGAGTTGATTTTCAATGAAGGTGAGGAAAACAATGACAATGGATAAGAACTGGTCACGAGAGTGAAAAAGATAAAACCAAGAAAATTTAGAGTAATCATCCATAAAGCAAACATAGTATTTATTATTTTGGGACGACGTGACAGGAGCAAGCCCCCATACATCAAAGTGAACTAGTTTTAGGGGAGCCTTGGACCTAGTAGTTGTTGGTGGATGAGACTATTTATGACTCTTGCTGGAAAGACAAGCTGAACAAATTGGAACAGGACTTAACGACTTATTGAAGATTCTTGAAATAGTAGGAAATGCAGCATGACCAAGACAACGATGCCAAAGGGTGAGTGACTCCACTTGAGAAACGAAGCAGGTTGGAGACGTAGGTGACAATGATGAGAGTGTGCAAAGGCCTTGATTAATGTCCCCCTGGAGAAGGATTCTGCCCTTATGACGGCACTTCACAAAGAAACAGCTCGGTGAGAAAATAAAGTCACATGAATTTTCAGCAGAGAATTGACGAACAGAAATTAAGTTTTTAGTGATAGATGGAACGACCAAGATATTAGACATGCGGAAAATCATTAGTAATAAGGGTACCTATGTGAGTGATAGGAAGACTTGACCCATTACCAATGGTGACCTGCTGAGTGCCATGATATGGCTGAATTGAGGACAACCGGTGAGGATTGTTGGTAATGTGATGTGTGGCACTCGAGTCGAGATACCAGGCATCGGGAGAAAGCATTGATGGTGGAGGAGGTATCTCAGCCAATTGAACTTGTGGTGGAAGTGACTGCTGCTGGTGCGTGTGGCCTTCAGAGAACCCAAATTGTTGGTTGAACTGATTGTGACAAGCAATGGCCTTGTGTCCTAAGCGATTGCAAATTTGACACCTTACATTGCTGCGTCTTTGATTTTTGTTGCCATTGAAATTTCGGAACTGAAAGTTGTCTTGATTATTGAAGTTGGGCTGCTGTCCATGAGGATGAAAATTCCTTTGTTGTCTCGTATTTGAGTTGGGGCTATTGAAATTGGAAGCGCAGCCACGCTGTGAATGGGAATTTTGGCCCAAGCTGGTGTTGTGCGCGACGAAGGCAGCTGGTTGGGTGGTTTGTGGTTCCTAGAGCTCCAACATTGCTTCATGAGCCAAGAGAAGGCCGTGAAAAGACTCCCTGGTTATTTGTTCATGCTGAGTGTGAACCGAAATTGCAACAGCTAAGCTTTGAAACTCAGCTCCTAGGCCTCGAAAGATATGCATTCGGTACTCTTGTGGTGAGATGATCTCACCAATGGAGGCCAATTGATCAGATATAAAAGTAGCATGTTGCAGAAATTCGGTCACGGTTTGATTACCTTTCCGCATCGTCTGAAGTTGCAGCCACAATTAGGTAGCTCACGCACTGTTTTGGGCAGCGAAAGATACAGAGAAGAAATTCCATACGGCATGAGAGGTGCTCAGATTAGATAACTGACCCACAATTGAATCAGCTGTCGTGCTTAAGATCCATCCTAGAGCAATCTGGTCCCGCGTATACCAGTTATCGTATTCGGGATTGGGCACAATATTGGAAGAACCATCTGTATTGGTTTTAGTAATCTGTTGTGGAGGACATGGCAGCGTTCCATCGACGATCGAAATTAGTTTATTTGCTCGAAGGAAGGGGAGGATTCGAGCTTTCCACGCCACATAGTTGTCCCCAGTGAATTTCACCCCAAGATTTGGACAACCGGATGACCCCATGAAATTTTCGGATGACGGAATGATGGGGCTGGTGAGAGACAAGATTGTTGAACTGGACGGCATTGAGATGCTAACAGTAGCGGGAGTCGCCGGACTCAATTCTATTGAGTAACTTAGATCGGAACTTATGGCTATGATGCTTTCGCAATTGATAGCTTTGATACCATGTAAAATCTCAAGAAATTAATATCTTAAGGTAACAAGAATGCGGCTAAAGGCAGCCATAATTGCTCCTGTATATTGTGTTTAATAATATTTTTGTACATCGATAATGAAAGGTACATGTGCCTATTTATAGGCTTTAAATGTTAACTATCTAAAGTAACAAATAACAAAATATCAATTACGTCAAATCAAAATCAAAACAAAATCTCACAAATATATCTATATATCTAACACAGGAAAATAATCAAGGAGGAAATCTTTTCTGAGCTGTAGCCTTGTCGAACACCTATAACAATCTGCCCAGCTCAATTCAAAGTGCTTCACCAGAACATAAGTTTGCCCTAATCGATTACTCCTTCAATAAGGGTTCCTTCTTGTCCTGCCACTGATCCAACCTCTTCACTGCTTCCTCCACCTGCAAAGACACACCCAGATTAGCCATGTCGGAAAACCATATGGTCTAACGCCTTCTTCATCGCGCAGTCAACTCGGCAGGAATGCGTATGAAATTGTGTTGATATTATCTGTTTAGTGAATACGGTCGCATACCTCCTTGTTCCAATCCGTTCGGAATGTGATCCACATCAAGATTAGGGTCTGCATGATTGTGCCGGCAAGCATGCCGCCCCATATCCCCTGCCATCACCATGACGGTTCGCCCCGCTTACATTTCCATATCTTAATGGTTGCGGCGGTCCTTTACAAAGACAAGAAAGGTTCACAGAGTTTGAGCTGGTTATGACTTACCTTTGCGCCGAGCCTGAAGTAAAACCCCAAAAGCGAGCCCAACGGGACACCGACCACGTAGTAGCATCCGATGTTAATGTAAGCCACGGACGCCTGCCATCCGCACCCGACCGCCACACCTTCGCCAATTTATATGTAATCGGGACTTAGATGGTAGATTAATATTATCACATGATGTACCAAAAAGAAAAGACACATATAGAGTAGTTTTTGGCAGGTTAGCGGAGAGACGTTGAATATTACTTCTTCAGAAAATATTCACGGTCTATTCGAAAGAGCGGTGTACAGAAAAAAAATGGTGCTAATCTAGCCATTAGCTACTTGAACAATCCTCTTACCAGACAACACGGGTTGAATGCCATTCAAGAGTAGGGTGAGGGCAAGAAGCGGGCACAGATCAGAGACGGCGGCCGCCACAGCAGCTCCCTCCGTGAAGGCGTAGCTGATGACGCCACAGAGCGCAAGCACCGCCACCGCCGCGATCACGGAGATGACGAAGGAGATTATCGTCACTATTGCCACCGAAAATGCCGCCGACCTCGGGTTCCCGGCTCCGAGCTCGTTGCTCACCCTCACGCTGTTTTGACAAACATAAGATCAAACGCAACATATGTTAGGGCTCTTCAATCGAACTTGCATACAGCATCTATCAAGTAAGAACAACACAATGTAAGTGGACAAGACAACAAAAAATGAAAGAATAATACGATTTGAACATCGAAATCAATATATGCATGAGAGAATTCAGGAAGTACAAAGGGACTAACCTGGCAGCAGCATTCAGCCCAACTGAGATCATGAACACCCACCCGGATATAGTCATACTGCAATTTGCCAAAGTCAAAGGAGTTCATAATCATGTGCTTAATCACTTCCAAACTAATAATAATTCTCAAGCCTCTGTGTCCTCGCAAGCAATTTTTCAAGCCGCCATTGCTAAACCAACCTGGCTTCTGTCGTCGACGTTGTCGTCTGTAGCAATAGACAGGCGGCTATCCCATGTGAAACAAGATATCAGAATGAAGATGAAGACAAGAAATCGTCACATGAATGACTAACGCCTTCTACCTAGGATCAGTCTAAATGGGAAAAACCAAGCGTCAATCGTATTACAAGGAGATGATTACATCAGAAGTTGCATGGAGAGAGTAGTTCAATGTTCCTAACCCCTCAATCACGATGCAATTCTTCTTTTGACGATCTTTCGCGTATCGGTTTCGATACACCCACTCGACCTAATTGAAGTACTCGCAGGAAAACGTTTTCGTGGCTCGAATCTGTGAAAACCAGGGCGTGCGAATGGCTTGCTTTGTCCGGATTTGCATGGAACTCCACAGCCATTGAGTAATAGCGACGAAAAATGCTCATTTCAACGCATAGCAACGTTCCATCCGAGCTTCACAAGATCCGCACCACTCCAACCGAGATGACATCATTTTCAAAGAAACTGGCCAGCTTTCTTGTCTCTACTTTCTAAGGCAAACCAAAAGCTCTCTCCATGGCACCTTTCACGAGTGACTTCTAATGGCGACACGTTCTCGTTTTGATAAACACATACAGAAACAACTTTTTGTTCATATGCTCATCTGTATCTTGCAGGCTTTGCCATGAAACATTAAAAGCAATGGCTGCCTCAAATGAAGGGTATCCATTTAACTATAACCAGCCACAAAACACTTTTGACTGTCAATTTTTTTTTTCACTATACTTAACCTTGTCTCGCACCTTCAGAATTCAATTCGATAGCTTCTTAGTTCTAATTCACCTCGCCGGATCGTTCGGGTCATGCACATAATTTCTAAATGGGGATCATCACATGCACATAATATAGGAAATCTTACTGTACATTCAGCACTGTACATAGTGAAACAAGCTAAGATTTTTTTTACCATGTTAAGCATGCGGATATTCTTCTTTTTTGGGCTAGAAAAGAGTCAAATGCAGAGACCTTCAATCTGTCTAAATAGATTAATAAAGAGAGAATGTTGTTTTTGGCTTACCATATAGAGAGAGAGTCCAGCGCCAACTCAGCGTTCTCTAGCAACCCAGCCAGCAACACGAGTATCTGGAAATACCACGTCTCCAGGCACAGCATCACCGCCGACGCGGCGGACAGCTTGAAGAACCCGAGCAGCCCAGAGAAGGCCTGTACGCTGAGCCCAGTCCACGTCTCCCTGCACCTCTCGCTCCTCACGATGTACACCAGCTGAGCCACAACGATCACCCACCACGACAGGCTCAGCACCAGCGACGCCCCCAGCAGCCCGAGCCCCGCCCTGTACACCGCGAGCCAGCTCAGCGCCAGGTGCAGCACCAGTGTGGTGGCTGAGATATAGGCACTCGGGGCGACAATGTTCTGCGCCTGGAGGAACTTCTGGATGGGGAAGTTGAGGGCGTACGCGAAGATCTGCGGGATGAGGCCGTAGACGAACACCGCCGCCGCTGAGGCGATCTCCCGGGGCTCGCCGAGGAATAGCAGGATGGGCTTAGAGAAGGCGTAGATCAGTGTAAGGAAGAAGCCGGTCGCTGTCAGCAAGACGGTGGCCCGCTGGAGGTACACGCCGAGCATTTCGTACTTGTGAGCTCCGTACGCTTGCCCGCACAGCGTCTCCACCGCACTCCCCATGCCCAGCTGATATATTTTTTTTTTGTTCAAGAATTTGGACGTAGAAAATGTTAGATGATTAGTTATCAACAGAACTATAGATGAAATTCACGCGAATATCGAGCTTTATGTCAGAGATTAACGTGTGAAATGATCAACTGTTTAAAGTTTTAAATTGGTTCACAGTGATTTCGTGATATCAAAGAAGTAACGTGAATAAAATCAAGATCGTGGTGTGATCCTACCATGAGGCCATAGGCGAAGACTTGGATGCCGGTGTTGCCGAGGGACGCCGCAGCGAGCTCGAGGTTGCCAAGGTGGCCAGAGAATATCTGGGTGGACATGGACATGATGTAGTTGATCATGTAGACGACGACGGCAGGGGCCGCCAGGTGGAAGAGCAGCTTCAGCTCGATCCATGAGGCAGCCCTGATTCTGTCCCAGACAGCCAGGGTTGGGTCGGAGAGCACGGATTCAAGATGGCTGCTCGTCTCGTGGTCATCGGGACGACGTCCGTGGGGTTGGGGAGATGGAGGTGGTGGGACTAGGGTGGATTCCGGCAGAGGGCTGTAGTTCGTGTCGCCGGCTTGCAAAGAACCCATCTTTGGCGCGGGGAGTCGTGCGGCGGCGATGTGGCGGCAGTGAGACGTGGTGGCAGCGGCGGCCGTGGAGAGGAGGAGAGGACTATCGAGTGAATTGGCAAAGAACGTGTGAGAGTCGACGGTGGGGTTTTATAGAATCAGATGTCGTGATGAGTTTGATAATCGAGAAAGAAATCGAAACAGAGGGAGTTGCATTAATTTAGTCGAGGCTGCACGTTAATTACCACATCAGCTGTCAGCCAATACGTCACTTTTGCAAACGGGAGTTGCTAATGTCACTTGCATTTATAGAGTCGATGACGAGTTACGCTTTAGCAGTGTCTCAATTTCACAAATGTTTCTTCTTTTTGAGCTGAAATGTCTAATCAAATTCGATTCAGAACGTGACCTTGCCATCCTTTTTCTTTTTCATTTCACTGCACAGAACATCCGAACCGTCGGAAAATATTTCGATAACGACCACCTTTGATTGATACTGTAGGGCTGAGCAGTTTCAAGTTCCTTATAGGTTTCACCTAGAACTTAGAACCTACCCTCGGATACAAGTTCATTATTTTTTGGAACCTGGAACCTACCCATTGGAACTTGGAACCTGAAACCTACCCTGTCACTGGTTCCAAGATAGGTTCCAGGGTCTAACAGGTTATTTTTTTATTTATTTCATTTTTAGTTAAACAAAACGAAAATGAACACAACAATATTGAACAATCTTGTCATTCACCAAAGAAAATACAAAAGACTCGTTTTCCTGGTATTACAGTTCAAATAAATACAATTAAAATGAGAAATTATTGCGTAAATCGATACTAGGGGTGAGCGGTTCCATGTTCCATAGAGGTTCCACCTGGAACCTACTCACGGAAATAAGTTCCTCATTTTTTGGAATTTAGAATCTACTCTATCATAGGTTCCAAGTTGGTTACAGGGTCTACCTAGGTTCCTCTTATATTATTAATTAGACAATTATAATGAATCATCATCTTTAATGACCACCACTTGTTACTTTGACCCATGGACTACAACTTATATTTAGACACATGAAAAATATGAAACATTAACAAGTCATAAAACGAAAACTTAGACTAGTAGTTCCAGATTATACACTCATTATTTAACGCCATGAAACACCACAGGATCACATGAAGATATAGACCAAGAAAAAACACAAAAAACTTGCTTAGGTTTCAGGTTTCAGGTTCCACCTACCTAAAACCTGGAATCTACCTGTCGAAATAAGTTCCCTAATTTTTGGAACCTGGAACCTACCCTACATACCTTGGAACCTACATGTTCCCACCGGTCAAGTTCTTAGGGTCCAAGGTAGAACCTAGAATCATGCTCACCCCTAATTGATAGGTAGAGTTGGCATACCATGTATCTCTCAACGTGGAACTTCCACAATGTTGATGGTTGGCGAAAGATTTGGTGCTGAGGGACCTTACTGACTGTCCTAAAAAAAGTTGCTAAAAAGTTAGATGAAGATATGATTCAATATTTGAAATATTCCGATATCCTCCTTCCCGTGTAGGCTAAACTTCAGTTCAAGATTGAACGGGCCTAGCAAGATTTGAACTCGTTCTTCTTGCTTTGATACCGCGAAAGATTTCTTGTGGGAGTGCCGCTAGCTGTTCTAAAAAGTCAAATTGTTCGATGAAGACGTTGTATAATGGTTTGAGTATTCTAACGATTTGCTTTTTATCGGGTACTGAACAATTTCCCTTCCGTTAAGATGCCCGGAACCAATTAGGAGAAGTAAGCCTAAGAATAATCAACATCAATGTCCAAATTTGCTTCATGCGCGAACTACCGAAGCTTTGATTTGTTGCCTTGCCAATTTTGATTCCGCATGTGTGCTCTCCAAGTTGACTTTGACTTTGACCAATTGGTGCGTAGAAGGTGGCGTCAGCTAAAGCACAAAGCAGCGATGCTTTGCTAATAATGGTTCATAATGAAGTAGAGTCCAAATTGAAGTTTCCCCTTCTTCTTTTTTTTCCTTTTTTAATCTCTTGAAATTAGAAAGGAAAAATTGGCTTTGAGAGCCATCAACAGAAAAAAGCATACAGCCCCACATGTATGGGTGAGACAATAATGAAAAATATTTTCATACACCTAAAATTATCACTGAATAAGAATTGTTTTGAAAGGAGGAATCTAAATGACGTTGAAAGAAATTGATTTGAACTAAAAATTTAGGACGGGACGACGGCAATCATCTTTGAAATTCTCGAAACCACTGACTTTTCATTTAAAAGAACACATTGGCTAATTATTTTGTTAAAGCCATATATTATGATTGACTTTTCTAAGAGTTAAAAATTTTAAATATTAAATCAAGCTTTCATTTAATAACTCAAACGTACAGTTGTGATTCACAAAATTTTACAGTTAATACATTACAAACTCGAAATGGGTAGTTGGTGGTTGACAAATAGTGAAACTTGAAAACTTAGAATGATCCTGCACATTGACTAGAGTAGCTGCAGTGGGTGGGTAAGAACGGTCCACAATAGTTAGCAGGTATCATCTTAGTAGTTCAACACTCCATGAAAAACAGAAAGTAAATCGATGTAAAGAGGAGAATTACAGCATCTTTTTCACTTGTATATGAGTTTCTTGTTACAGCATTTATTGTGTGGAGCCAGAAGAATTGTGCTCCCTCATGCCCTTTTTCCTAAATGCTATTAAAGTTACAGAGGTTGCCTGGTAAAGAATGAAGATGTCAAGCATTGGGCTTGCCGATACATTTCCCTGTCTTGCACAGTCGTTTCTAAGTATGATTTCTTCGTCCTCCAACTTCGGAGGGACATATAAGATGAGAATAAACTCCTATCTACGGAAGAGCTCGAATGGCGGCTAGGAAAATCAAAGTGGTGGCAACAAGTTCAAGGAGGCATCTTGAGAAACAGCGAGGTTGCGAATAGCAGCATCACCAGTAATTTTTCGATGCAAGCGCCTGCACGTCAAATGCATCACGAAAATCTTAGTACTTGAGACTGAATGCTATAACGAAGAAATCGCCCTTAACATGAAGGGCACCACATATTTGCAATGCAAAGACGCCGCTGATGAAGATCTTACTGGTGATGGAATTTTGTTAAAGAAAGAGAACACTGTTGTTGTGAAGTTCTACCAATTAAGTCGAAACAGTCTCACATCAATCTATGCACCTTGCATCCATTCCAAACCCTGGGGCCAACTGACTCAATAATTTCCGAATATGCATCTTAGGCTTTGTAATCAAATTTCTTTATTTAATTTAAATGAAAATAAGAAAGGGGCTTGATTCAGCAAGCAGTGACCTTCTCAAATGTATCCTGCGTTCAGACCACTCGGGCACTCACGCCGGTTGAGATGCCAATCAAAAGTGCCAAATTTGGATCACTATAGTGACCTTAATACGCAAAAATTCACCGGTAAGCAATTACATGCGCTCGAAGAGACTTTAACATGTGTTGAACTAGGGAAAATGAGTAGTTACTGTTCAAGAAGACACAATAAAAAAGTAATGACAGTGCAATATTCGGTTAGAAATGGGTGCAAAATTTCCTTACCACAGTGCGCAGATGATGCTTTGGGAAGAGCCGGAATTTTGCTAGCTGCAATGCCAAGAAAGAGCAAACGTGTCGGGAACAAACGTGCTGAAACCAAAGTAGCAAAGGCGCAAACCGACATACGAGAGAAAGACAGATAGTTGAGATGTACTTTTGTTGCAAGAAGGCAAAGGTACAATAGAAGTGGAGGACGGCCACGGAGCTGCAATGTTGTCGTTGAGATCACACATGAAGCTTATTCCTGACATTTGGTCAAATGTCGCATCTGAAGGTTGGCTTGGTAGAAGACAGCCAGATTCTGGAAAAAAACAACGGAGTTTTTAATTTCTCAGGAAGAAATATACAGCAACAACAGAGTCCAATAAGTTCATATGGTACTTATGTGAATGCTTTGAAACTAGTGAGTTTAGCCTGCTAAGGCAAGGTTGTTGTTGAATAGCACTGAATATCTTGAATCGGGATCTCACATGAAATTAGAGATAGCACAATTTGTATCCATTTGGATTGTTTTATTCTCAAAGGCCGTGTTGCGTACTGGGTAATAGATGAGTAAATATGAGCCTAAAAATCATTACGATTTTCAGAAGAAATACGAGCTCAACCTTTCTACTTCATGCTTCGAAATAGAGATTTAATTGTAAAATCAGAAACCTTGCAACCCTTTCTATCCCGTGATGCTTCACCAGAGAATTAAGCAAGAATCAGACATTACACTTGAGATTGAAATTTGTCACTTATAAGAAAAAATAAGCCACTGCATAATCTTAGTAAAATACTAAGATTAGGATGTTACCTTGCGATAAAGCTTAAGCATCCCGTCCAGAAACGCCCATCATAGAGGATGAAGCACAAGAAAGACCTTGGTCAGTATCAGTTCTTTACAAGACTGAAGCAGACAGTAAATTGCTCGCTTAGCCACAAGAAGGGAAGAAAATGGAGAGCAAAAGGATTTGCTGACCTTGAAGAGAGAAATCCTTGAGGTTTATCTGACAAAGATTATAGAGATTCTTTGAGACATTGGCTTGCTGCAATTTCATTCCAAGATACACAGCACAATTCAATGCTTGCAAGTTGGTTAGGAAGCTCTGCTCCTGTAAGTGCGAAACATAGCTCTCCATTGCTTCACAGCAATCTGTTTGGTTATTTATGAGTCCCTCACATTCTTTGGAAAGAGTCGTTATGTTTGGGAATTTCAGAGGACAAACTGCATCAGATAAAGAACACCCAAGAATATTAAAAATAGGGACTAAGATAGTTCCAGGAATTTTTTGAAAGCTCTCAATGACGAGCAGTACCTAACAGAATGTGATTCCAAAAAAGTGATCAACCATATGCATGTGTACCTATGTTTTCTGATACATGCTTACCTTTGTTTGTATTGCAATTAGAGAGGCCTCTAAGGACACTGTTAGCGGAGGAGGGATCCAGTTTACTTGCCAACCATCGCAGGACAATATTCTTACAATCATCAACGCTATTTGAGTGCTCAGCTGAGATAGGAATCCCATCCGAACTCGACATGCCATTCAAGGATAGTTTTTGGGCCACATCTAAAATTGCGTTTTGGCAAGTTTGGTCACAGCACTCCTTGACAGGATTGATTTTTTCACAAGCAGTTAGAAGTCTTGAGGTGTCCACGCTGCTCTCAAACTCATTGACATCAATGATAGGGCAAGAGGCTGCGGTGAGGTTCGCAGGAGAAACAGAGCATATGCTTTGAAGAGTTCCATTGGCACCTTGAGCCTCTAGGATTGTTATAACATCTGAGAGGCAATGGTTGGAATGAGTTGCATTTAAAGCAAGCATCCCAGAGTTTTTACTGGACTGCCCCATGAGAATGACCAGCGTGGCATCAAACTGAGGACAACATACCACATTAGCTAAATATGGCGCAAATGAAGCCCAACAGTCCGTTGCTGTCATACTCATGATGCTTTGTGCCGCTGAAAAATTCAAGCTGCAAAGTCCTGATGAACCGAAACCAAAAGCAACAGAATATTAGGCCATGTGCACTGCCTTGCACGAAAAGATAGTTCTACTCTAGTCAAGAAAGTCAAGTGGGATAGGCCTTAATTGACCAAAATTGGTGTGGACACAAGAAAATGCTCGCTAATTCAAACTCTGGTAGAAAGAACACACGGGGTTTAATCAATGCCAAGAGTAGCTGTCACATGTTCACACCAGTTTGCAATCATGGATGCAGTTGCCCTGCATCATTGCACGAAATCCTGTCATGTCTCCATGAAAAACCCACTGTCGTACGTGATTCGAGAAGAAGTGACGCAAATAGGAGCTTCAATGTTCAGGTCAAAGCCAAATAAAAGAAAAGGGTGCTCTACAAGCATGATTATTGGGAAGCTTTCCACAATAGTCATACTCAGGAAACTCAGAGTAGTTTGCCCCAAGCACATCCAGAATACTTTTGGCCAAGCGTAACTGACATTGCTTAGGCAAACCTTTATTCGTATGATATTTGAGCAAGTGAGTCGCACCTGATAATTTCGGCACAGTGGCATTCGTGAATGGCATCAATGGTGAAGGAGCTAAACTAGGGAGAAAAGGTTGAGGTTCTGCACTGGGCGAGATATCTGGAGTCACAGCACTTCTCTCTATTGAAACTAAAGCATTGTGTTCATCACCAAGAATTGAGCTGCAATAGGAGACTTTTAAACCTGCAGAGACAAAGGAACTAAATGATTGATAGCCTGTCATACATGCTAAGGAAGACATGAAAATTGCTGATAAGCATAAAGTCGCCAGCTCGTATTGATTTGTTGTACGATATAATTAAAAAATTTAAAGTTCTCCCCTTTAAACAGTAAATGGGTTCTAAAGCAATGCAACATAACTCAGAAATCACAAATTTTGGTCCAAGCTGACCCCAGAAGCCATCTTAGAAAGTTGTTAATGCAACATTTTGAGTTTCCTACAGTCTGAGAGAACATTGCACAAAACAGACACCATAACTTGTGTATCACAAGTTTTGCACAAACTGGAGAATGATTCTGTTAGCAGGAATATTACAGACCAACCTGCTGAGCTTAGCTTAGTTGATGTACCAACATGAAACCAATAAACCCATTCTAATTTTCCTGCAAGTAATAAAAAGGGCTTTGAAAACCTTCCCCGTGTTAACTACACAGAAACCCAAACTGAAAAGCTACCATCGATCCAAGAAGCTAATCAGGTCAATCAGTAAAGTACTTCAATAAAACCATCAATTTAGCTTTTCATTAGCATTCATAACAATGTTTTCTGCACCACAACTTGGCTAAAAAGCATGCATGCGCAAAAGATGCCACCAATTTATTCCGCATTATGGACTGGAAACGAGATACCGGCTCTCTTTTCAGGGTCCTCTTTGGACATCAACGCCCATCCCGAGTTTTAGAAATTCTACATTGAACTTGCTCATAAAGCTCTAACAATACAAATCAAGTATGACACCCTTCTTATGCATCCGAAAGGATTGATTGGATATACCAACAAAGCCTCTCGGAAGTATGAAAATTCGCTCCTATCATACCTTCTGCTTCCACACGCCTTGTTGCTAAGGTTCCAATTAATTTCCCTATCCTTCGGTTTTAACAGCTTTTTCACCTTAAAATATTTTCCAATATCAGGTCAAAACCACCAAACTATGAAGAGATTGCACCAAAACAACAGCGTCGGCAAAAACTGGAGCTGGAACCAAAATTGGCTGTCCAGCGGCAGAAATTTAAAAAAGCCAGATTCTTGATAAGCAGAAGAGCAGAGAACTGACACAACAGAGCAAACCCAGAAAACTTAGCAGACTCGGGTCCTCCAAAAACAAGCATTCAAGACAACCCAATTCGTCAATTTGCCAAAAAAAAGAAACCGCAATGCCATATGAAGACAACGGCAGTAAAAAAAAAAGGAACAAGAGCACTTACAAAGAATCGCTAGCAGAATCTGTAGAGGTGTGAGGCCGCCGCCTAATCTCTCCCTCATGCTTTCACCTTATCGGCCTTGCAAATTGCGAATGCGGGGGAATGTGAATGCAAAATGAGCAGGACGGAGAAAAGGAGACTGCTAATGCGGAAGTGGCGAACGCATCTCAATGCCTCCGCAGCTTGAAAAAAAATTCGGGCTCAGAGAATCTGCGTATTAAATAGACTGTACGGAAGCGTTGAAAAAGAGCAAAAGAGGTGGAGGAGGAGAAGGAGAACGGGAACTTGGCAGAGCGAGGGAGCGAGCGCATTCACTTGGAAACACTCGGTGGTGAACTGTAGTAGTTGCGCACGAGCGAGGGGAAGCTGCCGGGGAAGCAGAGGATCACGTGCCGAGAGTCCGGAGTCACGTGGGGGTGTTGCTTCCCAAAGAATACTGCCCCGTGTCCAATCAACTCGTTATCTTCATTACTCGTGTTCCCAAATCTTGTTTTTTTTTGTATAATGATGTCTAATCAGATACAAATCATCACCGACTCGATGTTTTAGATAGGCGAAGATTCACTAGCATGACAAAATAACGTTATACAAATTTATCGAAAGAAATTCGAATTCGAGCAGTATGGCTCAGATCGGCGCATTATCACTATATATTGCTTTACGAAAGGACACCCTATAATCACGTCGAATGTAACATCCCGACATAAATTGTCAACTTTCTTTTTGTTGTCATTGTTTGCATCTCGGGGGTTGCTCCTGCACATGAGGCTCGTGTTCCGGGAGAAGCGTGACCCGGCGGCGGGCTTGACTCCGCGCGATGCGTAGCAAAGAAAGGAGGGCCGTCGATGATTAGCACGAAACTTTTGGTTTTTCCTTCTTCGTTACGTGGTCGAATCGTCATCGCGCTTTGGAGTTTTCCGATTCACGGTGACTTTGGATCCGTCGTTTGTTTTTTGGGGGGGAGTTTTTGAGAGATCGCTCATGAGAAAACAGCCATTCAAAAAAACGGGGGGGATTTGGCGTGTAGCTAGGCCCGCTTGGGTACACGCCAGGACAACAACATTAAACATCTATCCCCCCAAGAAAAAGAGACGGTGGTGGCTTCATAATCCCCCCCTTGTCCCCGACTCCCTACATCAACATGCAACCTAAATCCCTACGGAATAATTTTGCCCTTTTTATTTTATGGGAATGTGGGGGATACTTGCAATGCCCTTGAGAAATAAAAGGAAAAAAAAAATATCGATCGCTCGTTGAGCCGTACGTCTTCATTCTCATAATGGGTTCTCAGAAACAAGAAAGTCGTGATGCTTCAGTGATCGCTCGTTGAGCCGTACGTCTTCATTCTCATAATGGGTTCTCAGAAACAAGAAAGTCGTGATGCTTCAGTGATCGCCCGGAAATTTAAGGCATTTAGTGTGCTTTTCTGGAAGTCGTGAGTAGTGTTTTTTTTCCTAATGTTGTTGCCTCTTTTTCTTTTTTCTTTTTTCCGGTGAACTTAAATCGGGTCAAAAAGTTGTGGTTTGATGGCTGAAGAAGCCGGTGTCGTTGTGGGATGGGCACTGCCCATTGGGCAATCCATCCTTTTTCATGCGAATTGCAACCGAGAAGATAATAATGGGACTGGCCTTGTAAATGGAGATGTAGCTGAGGGTTTCGGATGAAATTTTTTTTTAAAATGAAAAATGGGGGAGTAGTCGTGAATGGTCGCGAAGAACAAAGTCTCGGTGCTTATGGGCCTCCACGATTAGCCTCCTTCAATTTGACGAGGTCCTACTAGTTATTGCGAGGCCCAGTAAAAAATATCAATTGGTCCAGTTCTGAGCTGATTCTGGGGAGAATAGAAATAGAGATCGAGTCGGTTCTCGATTCCAAAAAATTTCTGGATCGGGTTCGAGTAGGACCGTTTTTCATTTTTGTCAAAAATCGCATGCGCAATGCAAATACGATGTCCTAAGCTAGGAAAGATTTATGTTCTCGTGTCAAATTGGCAGTGGTGAAGCATTTTATATCACCAGATTTGGCAATATGGAAAAGTAATAAATAGAAATACCCTAGTTTCTTATCTTGGTCATATCACTTGTTCTCTAAGACATTTCTTATTCTTACAAGAGTGACCTAATCTCACCCTCTATAAATGTACTTTCTCTTCAAATTATAGAGGTTGGGCACAATAGAAAGAAGCTAGCAATCTATAGAGAGACACACACGAGAAAGAAGCTCTCCCTCACGCCTATCGCCGCGTCTGAAGCCGCGCGACACCGCTCTGTCGTCCCTCTTGCCGTGTGCGTTACCATCGACCGCAGGCCTCGTCGCCTCGCTGTACAACCTGACCTCCACCACGCGGCATCCTGCAGGACTTCTCGAAGCCCGTTGCTCCTCAAGCCGTCCCTCCCGCAGCGCCACCTGCACCGTCCACGGCAAGCACTAGATCCCACCAACGTCACTACTTGTGGTCCTCAGTCCAATTGCCATCGCCGTTCAGCTTTGCCGTCGCCTCGCATCGTTGTTTGCTCTTCTTTGCCGCAGTCCCTAACGCCACCACAGCAATTTCCAAGCAATCTTATTGAATTCCTGTAGGTTTTTCCATCGCTGTCCGACAGCTTGCCGTGCCAGCGAAGTCCTTTGCCGCGCCCAGAGCAGTTTCTCCATCGCTGCCGGCATCAATCCCTCGTTGGTCGTTCGCTAAGTTCGACGGTCCCACCGCACCATCGCTGCTTCCTCGTCGGTCAAGTTCGTCCTTACCATTACCGTCAAACCTCCTCGCCGCTGGTCGTCATTCAAGTCGAAAGCCCAATTAAGGTAGTTTCCTAATTTACATGCTTGATTGAATATTTAATTGCCTAAATTGATATTATTTGGCTATAACTGGATTTGATTTGATTTGTAAGGCGTTACCGAATAGACATTTTCCTTTTTAAGTCAGTTTCGTATATACGTTTGATAATTGGGATATGATCTTTAGGACTAAAGATCGAACCCTCAATTAAGTTTGTTTCCTTATTTGTGGTGATATTTAATATTGTACATCATGTAGAGTGTTAGATTTTTAGGAGCTCAATTGGGATATGATGTTTAGGACTAAAGATTGAACCCTCAATTGATATGATCTTTAGGAGCTCCAGATCTTGACCACCACCTTACATCCATGGCCGCGAGGCATTGAGCTCAAGATATGTGAGCTCCACACCCCGACCATGGCCGCAAGCTGAAGCTCGAGCTCGAGTGGCCATGGCGGCCATGAGCTTCAGATCCCGACCACCACTGAAAGTCATGGCCCGGGCCGGGGTTGAGGCTGAGGCCAAGGGCCACCCTCGTCGGCCATCGACGAGGCCTAGCGGTGGCCAACAGAGGGAAAAAGGGAAAAAGAAAGAAGACAAAGAAAAGAAAAAGAAAAGAAGAGAAAAGGGAAAAAAAGAAAAAAAGAAAAAAAGAAAAGAAGGAAAAGAGAAGAAAATAAAAAGGAAAAAGAATAATTTGAAAAATATTAAAATATTATTAAAAATTATTCACGTTAGCGCCGAACGTGACACGTAAGACGGCCGATATTCACGTCAGTGGTTTTCAACAAAAAATGGCCAGATGAATTCAATTGGCAAAATGTGAAAAGGTATAGGACTCAATTGACAAAATTGAAAAGTTTATGAGTAAATTTGTAAAAAGGCAATAAGTTTAGGACTTTTTGGAAAATTTTCTCTCTAAATAGATAATAAAATGCGAATGAAGCTTATTTTAATAATAAGGTCACATAATGCATGTGAATGCAACTCTAATAAAGAGAAATGTTAAGGATATCACAATGATAAAGTAAGGGATACGGACAGTACAAGTGGCATAACTTTTGTACGCATTCATTTGAGCGTCATAACTTTTTTTCAACTACTTGAATGCCGTAATTTTTAATTGATCACTTAAGTTGTTGACACCTAACGAGGGTCGCGACATGAGTCTCATAACTTTTTAAAAAGGTTCACCTAAGTACCGAAAATCCGACGTGACATCGCACTTGTGATGCACGTTTTTAAAAAATTATAGCACTCAAGTAATCGATTGAAAAATTATGACACTCAAGTGATAGAAAAGAAAAGTTATGACACTCAAATGAGCGCCGTACAATGTGAAATATAAAAATCTAATGTGAACATTTTTGCTAGGGACCAAATTTTGATGATATCGAGAAATTAAATTCTTAATGCGAAAAGAGATGTTTAGGGCAAAAAATTTAGGTGTCAACGTAGTCCAACGGATCCGAAATAGCCTCTCATTGCTCTGGACACTAGAGAATCTTTGCTACACCGTTTCACTGAAACCCTTCTCCGCTATCCGTTGATTCTCTCTTCTCAGCCCGCTCCCTCTTTGGATTCTTCTTTCTTTCCCTTCTTCAGCTCCCCCCCCACGTCGAGTGTCCCCGAACCTCCCTTCTCTTCAAGCCTCCTCCCAGTGTCGGTTTGCCACCGCTCCTCTCCTTGGGACCAGCCGAGATCCATTTTCGGCTAAGGCCACCTTTGAACTTGTACTTGTAGCCAGCACGCCCCCTCTATTGGCCGTAGCCCTGCTCTGCCGCCTGTCTCTTGTGCGAGCGAGCAGCCACTCGTCCTCGCTTTAGCCAATGCTAGGAAAGAAGAGAGAGAGGGGAAAGGAAGAAAGAGGGGCCGGGCTTATGAAGGAAAATGAGCTGGGCTTAAATAGAATAAAAGAAACGGGCCAAGGAAAGAAAAGAAGGGAGAGGGCTAGAGCCCAAACCAGGCGAGCCGGGTCGAATTGTCTCAATTTTTTTTGTTATTCTATGCTTTTGTCTATATTTTTCGTTTTCAATTTTTTTGACGACTTACCTAGCCAATAAAATTAGGTGTCAACACTCAATAAATGGATATACTTAGGTTAAAAAAGTAAACATATTCAAGTTCATAAGGTAATTATACTCAGACTCGGAATGTAAATATACTCAGGTTTATAAAATAAATATACTCAGATTCAGAAAGTAAAATCTACTCGGGTTTAAAAGTAAGCATATTCAGATTCAGAAAGTAAACTCTGCTCGGATTCAGAAGTAAATATATTCAGATTCAGAAAATAAAATCTACTTTGGATCAGAAGTAAGTATTTTCAGATTTAGAAAGTAAAATCTACTAGGGTTCAAAAGTAAGTATCAGATTCAGAAAGTAAAATCTACTCGGATTCAGAAGTAAGTATATTCAGATTCAGAAAATTATATCTACTCGGATTTAAAAGTAATTATATTAGAGTTCAGAGAGTAAAATCTATTCAGTTTCAGAAGTAAATCTACTTATGTTCAGATTCATCATTTTCACTTACCAAATATGCCACACTTTAAGAAAGCCAATCACACACCTTTTAAATATGTACAAAACCATCAAAACGAATCCAACAATCACCATGTTCATAGTATTATAGCACATCAAAATGACATATCTCAACCAACCAAGCTTAAAAGTGTTAAGTAGATTGAACTAACTTAACATCTAGAGTCTTCATTTGTCTCTTGAATAAAATCTTGAACAATCGGATGCTTCCAACTCGTGGAAGATAAGATCAAAGGAGAATTTGCTTTTGAAAATGGAAAAATAGAGTGATATGGCTAGGTACCATTTGAGTTTGATGTTACCAAGATTAAAACGATGATCATGGGTAATTATTAGATAGAGGGTTGCATGTAAATCACATGTGGCAATGTCTCACTTAGTTGATGGCCAAATGGGAGAAGAATTTGATGACTAATGCCTTATGGTGATGACACTTAGTCTTTAGGTGTCAAGTTAGTATGAGTCTCACCTTGGAAGAGACACAGGGCTTTGCATGTATCCTTAGAAGGGCATATGAGCATTATGCATCAAGATTAAAAGAGTCTTGACATGCAAAGATAACACAAGTGGCTCTCAAGCCTCTCATGCTATTTAAGAAAAACAAGTGGCTTACTAGGGTGGCTTACTGAAAATGATGACTCAAGGATACGTGTTAAAATTAGTGGTAAAGTTTGAGTACGAAAGAGGCATATGGCCAAGCACTTACTCTCAAATGTCACATGATGTGTTTGTGTCCTAATCCAAGATATTTGTGAATAATTATAATAAAACAGTATTCTTCTTTTTTGGGGCCATTAATGTAACTAAGCAACTATTAGTACTAATTAACTAAAGTTTAAATAAATAATACCACCCATCAACAACTAAAACAACGATAAATTGATTAACACCGCTCTACTATTAACATATACATCAACATTTATATATTTTAATTTTCAATACGTCGAACTCAGAACGATTACGTTCACGAAAAATCATCCTCCGCGCTTCACAAAATTTACAATCCGACTATGATTTAAAATGTCCACCCGAATTCTAAGATAAATAATACTTAACTTTATAATTTAGGTATCATTATCGGATACGGAAATTTTTTACATAAACATGATTATGAAAATTCTGGATGTCACACACAGAGCCACCAGAAAAGCTAAGACTAGAGACTCTCTCCAAAAGCAAGACCTTGGTATATAATGCATACGTAATCGATCGGAACAGGGTCGAATAAAGCCGACAAAATCTGGTCCTTGATTTCGTGACTGGGATGGCCATATCCGTCTTCATAATGATAAAAGAATTGAGAAGCTCGTGCTAAGTTCGAACAAGCACTGAGAAAAGGCCCGAACCCGGGAAACGTGTAGTCCTCAAACACTTCTTTGTTCATCCTCTTCCAGGTCTCACGCACCAGATGCCTGATATGTTCCCGCGCGGCCTCTTCCAAAGCGCCGGTTTCGTTCATGTAGCATTCTAGGGCCTTGTAGTTGTCTCCTCGTGCCAGTTCATGCTAAGCATGGACGAAAAAGACGGGTCACAAACGTAAGTCCCCAGATTCATCTCACATTTGTATCAAAGAAACAAAAAAAGAATGGAACATCACAGTGAATATTCCGATAGTGTACAGTTTTCCTAAGAGACGATTAACAAGGAAGGACAAGTATCAAAGTAAGTTACCGATGATGTACCGAGATCATTGTTGAATCGAAAGATCTTGGCGGAAGAATGCATGACACCTGGGATTTTCGACACGTAATCAAGTCCCTCTTCTGTCACTTTGTCTGTGGTTAGGAAGTAGCTATCCAACAGCACAATCAGCCCTCCGATTGAATCCACCGCAACGTCCATGTACTCCTTCAGTGTCGGTTTAATGCCCTTGTTGTACCAATGGACCTCCTTCATGTACGCCTTGCATTCATCCGCCCACTATAGGATTGAAATTCGAAAACTGTGTCAATGAACAAGTAGAGGGACGTTCTTTCTCCTACTTTTTCGGGCTATAAATTATTAGGTGAAAGATTTAGCAAGTCGAGATTACCACTTTCCGCATGTAAGGGATGGGGTTGATTCCTCGCTCTCTCATCATCCAATACCCAACTTCGTTGGTCGTGTTGTACAAGACCATAAAACTATCTCTTATTGTTGGAGGAAGCTTATCGATGTCTGTGATGTCCCACCTAGACAAGTTATCACCGTTTCAACGATATTATAAATTTTACCAATACTCAAATATGCTTTTTAGTAATAACAATGAAAATTAGTGCATACCTTTACTTTATCAGCCCAAACCAATCAATTACATAGAAGAAAAACAAGCTGATATAAAAGATGATATGTCCAAAACACAATGAAGAATTTATTTCATAATATATAATTTTTAGGATCTGTTCTATCCATCACGTTCATAGACTAATAAATTGTCATTTTTCTCAGCAATAATAATTGCAAGGGAAAATGATGATGGTAGAGATACTATGCAAACCTGACAATGAAATCTGTCAAGAGCTCAAGCTCTTCCGGCGTCCCATATATATCATAAACGTCATCGATAAGTGTCACCATACAACCCATCTTCACATTCAATTCTCTGCAAGCTGTATATTGAGGGTCGAAAACTAATATACAGCTCCAAAAATAGTTTTCCACTAGCCTGTCCCTAAAGAAGGTCATCTTGTTGGCCCCAAGTTCAACCCACCACCTGAAAAATTTGTCATATGATGACTAAGTCAATCAAAATGCGCTCCTTCGTTGCCAGATTGCATTTATGAAATATAGAGTGTTTGTGTATACCTTGCCAGATTGCTAACTTCCTTCCTGTGGATAGACTGCACTAAGTTGAAGTTTAATTTAGCCAATCGTAGCAAAGAGGGGATCATGTCTTGCTGTTTCTCGTACATGTCGATGAACCACCGAGCCTCCAACCTGTTTGGCCTCCAGTGGATCGGCATATCTAATGCATGATTCACGTGGCTCGCTAAAGTAGTGGGAACTTCGTCGAGGTTTAGATCCTTCATATGCTTAGAAGCAAAGTTCCAAGCTTCATCAAGTATGGTTTCACCTTCCAATCCATGGAAAGAAACTTCATAAAGACCAAGAAGCCCCTTCACATCCCTTTTGAGCGATTCGTTGAACGTGCCTGTCTCGTTCATAAACCTTTGAAGCACATCTATATGTCCAAAAAAAGGAATGGTAAGGTAAATTTTGATGCATCAACATGATTTAAAGAGGTTAACTAGTTGGTGACTACCTTGCTGTACGTTGTATCCATGTTGTCTGAGTAGCCGGAATCGAAGGGAAGCGGGATAGAGATCATCTGAAAGCTGAGCATCTTCGATGTTGTTATGGATGGAACCAAGAGCGTTCTTGATCTCTGTCTCGAAATGATATCCTAGTCCCAGTCTTTGAACCCCGTCAACGAGCTCGAGTTTTGCCACCTGATTCATCTCCCGGTCGAATAGACCTTTGACTTCTTCCTTCAACCTTCGGACTTGCTCCGTATATATATCCTCCTAGGCACATGAAAAGCTCAGCAAAATGAGATCTTAATCAAAGTCAATACACAAGCAGACTTCAATATTGCCTCCCGTATGGAAACAGTTCGATTCTCACTTTATTTGCAAAAACATTTGAGTAGGCACGGTTGAGCTCGTGTCTATATATTGAGAATATGCTATTTCGACCAGGTTTATTAATAGGTTTATTAATGTCTCCAATAGAATGTTGATGGGGTTGGTCGTGTATTTGATAGAGTGGCAGTGGATGAATGTGTAAATTGATGTTTCATATCTCGAACGTCGTATATAAATTATATACAGAAGTACATAAGAAGTAAACATCCATATATCTAATTCCAAGGACGAATTTTCTTTTGGTTGTGTCTTTTTTGTATTGGTGGACTCATCCCATTAAAGTACATAAAAATAGGGAAAAATTGTACATTTGGTTGCTTTACTCAGGTTATTTTTGTAGTCAACGCGGTCATTGAACTTAAAATTTGCACAATCAAGCTCTTGAACTTAGAGAATTTCTGTTCGACCAAAAAAAATAAACTTCGAGAATTTCTATCCTTCTGTGCTGAAAAAAAGAAGAAAATCATTACCGTGTAATCAACACCGAGTGATTGCACAAAATCATAGTCCCAAACGCTCGGTGTCCAATTCGCCGAACGTCTCGCAATCTCTTGATCTTCAATCTTCAAACCGCATGTCGCGAATCGAGGGCCGGAGGACGCAGCGGAGGAGGAAGAGGAGGAGGGTTGGCTATGGTGAATTGAGGAGGGAAGGAAGCTTGCGACCAAAGAAGGAAGAGCCATTGCGAAATCTGTTGCCAGACTCGGGAAAATTTCATTTTGGTATCCAAAGTGGGGCCTTTTTCTCAATTTGGTACCCAAAGTGGACATAGTCCCAAATTGGTACCCAAAGTGCCCATTCAGTCTCAATTTGGTACCCAAAGTGCCCATTCAGTCTCAATTTGGTACCCAAAGTGGACATAGTCCCAAATTGGTACCCAAAGTGCCTATTTAGTCTCAATTTGGTACCCAAAGTGCCCATTCAGTCTCAATTTGGTACCTGAGTTCGCCGGCCGGTCAAATGCTCACGGCCGGCAAGAAACTCTTATTCAGACTGCTTCAGGAACAAGTATTTTACTTTTTATTTTTTTGCCCTTTTTCTGTTTTTTTCTTTTCCTTTTCCTTTTCTTTTTTTTTTCCTTCTTCCCTCCGCCGGCCACAGCCATGGCCGGCGGAGGTCGCCGGCGTCGGCCCTCGCCGGCGTCGGGCGAGGGCCACCCTCGCTTGGGTCGGCCCTCGCCCGACGCAGGCGAGGGCGACCCTCGCCAGCCCAGGCGAAGGCCGCCCTTGCCGACGCCGGCGAGGGTGACCCTCGCCAGATCCGGCGAGGGCAACCTCGCCCTCGCCGGATCCGGGTAGGGTCGGCCTCGCCCGCCCAGCGAGGGTGGCCCTCGCTCGACGCAGCGAGGGCCGACCCTACCCCGATCCGGCGAGGGCGAGGTTGCCCTCGCCGGATCTGGGCGAGGCCGACCCAAGCAAGGGCCGCCTCGCCGACGCCGGCGAGTGGCGACCCTCGCTAGCCCAGGGCGAGGGCCGCCCTCGCCCGGACGCCGGCGACCTCCGCCGGCCATGGTCGTGGGCCGGCGGAGGGAAGAAGGAAAAAAAAAGAAAAGGAAAAGGAAAAAAAAAAAAAAAAAAGGAAAAAAAATAAAAAAGTAAAATAATGTTCCGTGAGCCGAACAAAGAATTTCTAGCCGGCCGGTGAGCATTTGACCGGCCGGCGAACTCAGGTACCAAATTGAGACTGAATGGGCACTTTGGGTACCAAATTGAGACTAAATGGGCACTTTGGGTACCAATTTGGGACTATGTCCACTTTGGGTACCAAATTGAGACTGAATGGGCACTTTGGGTACCAAATTGAGACTGAATGGGCATTTTGGGTACCAATTTGGGACTATGTCCACTTTGGGTACCAAATTGAGAAAAAGGCCCCACTTTGAGTATCAAAATGAAATTTTCCCGCCAGACTCTGAGTGTGCTAACCATCCATTATATAGGTGTGCTGCGATGCATCCATAATGAAAAAAGTTTGTAGCTGCTTTGGGAGCAAATTTTTCTACTTACTCGAGCCATCCTCTAAGCATTGCACTTTATTGTTTCTACATGCACAGAGTCATACTGACCCTGTTAGTACGACCCCCTCATGCACGTGTGTTTCTTGGGAACCACGTTTTATTTATTGCACGTTTAAACATGACTTTGTGGGATAACAATCCTGTGGCCACGAAAAAATGTTTCAAAAGAGAAATCTATGAACCACCAGTTTGCTTGGAAGCCTGTAATTACGATAGGGTGTATAACAACGTTGTCCATAGATCTATCTCCAGAAGGAGTACTTTTTAAGTGACTACCGATTTGAAAAACTTAACAATTTCAAATTTTGGGAGAGCTACATAGGGGAGGAGAGAAATGTGTTGATTATATATCAATGTCATGCTTGAAGAGCGGTACAAAGGTGCTTATGTTGGAAAGTACCTTGTTCCACATAAATTAAATGGGAGTGTGTTGGCGAATATATAATTGTGAAAGTCTTCTTTTCTTACAAATAAAGACAATAGCTAAATGAACTAGACCCTACTATACCCGCATGCGGCCATGCGAATAGTTGCGCGATTTTGGTGAGTGTAGAACAAATTTGGCACTAATCAACGATTATTATTTTTTATTTATTAAAATTCGGATTTATAATTATAAAATAACATTTGTGACCTATTGAAACAGAGTAAATGTTAGCAATAGAGTTACAATTATTTTGTTTATTATTTAATTCCGAATTTATTATTTCTATCGAACAATTATTAGGTGCTCTTACAACCTTTAAAAGGTTGTATCCGTTCAAACATATTTTTCGCTATTAATTACTCAACATTTTTGCTTAATAGAACAACTTCCATTTTTGTTTCTTTCAAAAGATATATGACAACTGTTTTCTATTGTTTCCCTTTGAGAGTTCATGGAAAAATACCAGAATTACTATTGGGTATTCTAGCTTGAGACTTGTGTCATGGAGGAATTTGCTAGTAACCGTTAGCAACGTTTTGGGGAAAATAATTCCTTAAAGAGTGTGTTATGACAAAAAAAAGTCTGCTTTCGTTCATCTTCTTGATTACTTGATTTTTCCCCAACAACGTCAAGATGTCATTAATAGATGAAACTCTACATATCTAATGCTTGAAAGTATGGTTGTCTTTCAACGTGCATTTTCCCAATTAACATATCTACTCAGGCAATAGTCTTCCAAGCACTAGGAGAAATAATAGGAGATTTTGTAGTAGCTTGATTTGTGAAACTATTTAGAAATTTCTTATATGCTGATTTTATTTCATGTTTATTTGTTTTTTTTATTTCATTAGTTCTTTTTCAATATACTATTATTTTTTGTATTTAAGGGAAAAATTGCTAAAAATTGGAGCCCGAGTTGGGTTGAGTACGGGTCAGGTCAAGTTGGGTCGAATATAGATTGCTAAGATTGTATTACATAAAAATAGATCGACATGGATTAATTAGATCAATTTGGATTGCTTCCATTTTTGACCTAACCAAAACCGACCGGACTCCCTCTCTTTGACCGGTGTATTCAGAACTACTAAAAAATCTCTAAGAAAAAGATTTGCAACCTCTAGGTCGGGTGAAAATTGGACTTTGACTATTAGCTTTGACACACTCGCTCACCAAACATTAGAAATTGATCTAGACCACTCCCTTTATCTTTTCTCGAAGATACGCTTTGAGAGGAAGCAAAAGAGAATGATGCATGTTAAATCGAAATTATCCGGTTAATTTAAGTCGTAGGCAGACAAAGAGGGGTGCTTGGATATCTCTATTTTCTTGGCATTGAATGAATTGTGAGGGAAGCAATCAAAAACCTGCCAGCGCTTGCTGTGAAAATGAGAAAGAAGAAAGGAAGTGTTGACACAAAAAAAAAAAAAGGGACCAACTCTAGATTGGTATCAACGAGTGGCATGCTCAGTCGATAATTAAAAGCAGAAGTCATCAATAAAAAAAAACAAACGGAGACCGATTAGGCTCAACGTTAGTGAAGGAAATCGATAACATCATTTATAAAGTCATCACAATATGTAGTGCAAAAATTATCAACGAGAGGCTTCACCAGTCAACAACTTAAAGGAAATTGATTGACAAAATCATCGACCACAGACAATCTCAGATTTTTGGCTAAGTGTTGAGGAAATGATATTAATGAATAAACTAGAGGTTTGCTAATACAACAGTTGAATATGAAGAAAGGTGATTGACTCAAACACATGATTGCCATATGATTATGCATACAATCTAGGGATTTGCATGTTTTTGTGTATAATCATGTCTAGAATCTCAGAGAATGTAAATGTAGATCGTGCTAGGAAGTTTGTATAGATTCAAAATCCAAGAACTGCTTGTAAATAACTGCTACAGTGTATTATAAGAGCTCATGTAGTAATCTAACTGCACATAATCAATCAATCTTTGTTTTTTTTTGGTCAGCACCCATAATCAATCAATTTGAACATCTGTTTTTGCTTTTATTTTCGTCTTTAACTATCCTGCAAATTTACCTTCGCAATACCTTTAACTTTCCGGTACCTTTTTTTTTCTTGCAACTTCTGAAGTTCAGTACTCGCAATTTAAATACCTTTAGTTCCATTTACATTCCTTTCCAAAATAAACAAATGACCATTTTTTAATCTTTGTCAATTCAATTCGAATCATCCTTATCTTTTGAGATTTTTCACTTTTTGGTGAAACATCTTTGGGGCATACCTAATGGGACCTTTTGTTGATTTGAGAAAATGCAACGGCGAGAGCCAGAAATTAATAAGTGACTGACAATGCTGCTGACAACAATAGCCAACTACCACAGGCTAGTAATGAGATGGCTACGCATTCTGAACTTTCAGCTGCTGTAAGATCAGTAAAAGATAATCATCTCGAAGATGT